CCGGCTGAACGGTGAACCTCGGAAATGACTTCACCACTGAGCTGAAAGGGTGTCTGGGGTCATACTCTCAGGGTTTCTCCAGTCTCCTTTAGGCCAGTAAATCTGGTGTCAGGGCGGTCATTGGTGGTAGCCAGGCACCATCTAGTTCTTCTGGTCTCAAGATGATGCAGTCTCTGGTTTATGTGGCCCTTTCTGTCTCTTGGGACATTTAGCTTTTTTGATAATCATGTAGAAGCTGGTAGGTCTCAGTCAAGATACTCCAGGCAGAGGCACAGTATTAGCTTTAATACTTTAATATTTTTATTTCTGGTACTTAGTGTTTGATTCCAAAAAAAGCAAACCCGTTGCCGTCGAGTTGATTCCAACTCATAGCGACTTTATAGGACAGAGTAGAACTGCTCCATAAGGTTTCCGAGGAACAGCTGGTGGATTTGAACTGCCGACCTTTTGGTTAGCAGCCGTAGCTCACTGTAGCTCTTAACCATTGTGACACCAGTGCTTCTGTGTTTGACTTGTGTAATTATTAATGTTTATTGAGTGATGAATAAATGCAGGAAAATACCTTTTTTTTTCGGAGTGTTTTGGATTGTGTAGAAGTTGAATATTAATTCATAGCTGAGGTTTTTTTGAAGGATACGATTTTTGGTTTGCAAAAATATTTTGTATGGTTTGGAATTCTTTTGCTACCATATTTTCTTAAAATGAATATAAATGTTGACACCCGTTTTAAAAGGAAAACTACTACAGGCTTAATCTCTTTTGCAGGATGAAGAAAACAGACAAGTTATATCAATAATGTATTGGTACATTTTAATTTACGAAGCACTTTTCAAATGCAGTACCTCAATTGCATTTTAAAACAAGTCAGATAAATCAATTGAAATGGGGGCTGGAGAGATGAGTAAAAATCCGTTATAGAGAAGTAAAGATAGTTCTGTTAATACTTGTACATACATGCATAGATAGGTGTTAATATACTTGTTTTATGGGCCATGAGGTTTCATATCTAGTAGGTGGGTGGCAGAGCTATGGTTTGAACTCTGGTCTTTTTATTTTAAGGCCAGTACCGTACATTTGAATTAAAGTAATACTTTCCTTGATACTTTTCTTTCATTTTTCAGAGATTGAAGCCAACAAATCCAGCAGCCCAGAAGGCTCTCACTACACCTACTCATTATAAACTTACACCCCGCCCTGCCACCAGAGTCCGGCCAAAGGCTTTACAGTCAACAGGCACAGCCAAGTCACATCTCTTTGATGGGCTTGATGATGATGAACCTTCCCTAGCCAATGGAGCTTTCATGCCCAAGTGAGTTTGGTTTTGTTAACAAATTAAATGTAAAATATTAATATAAACTAGATATAAAATAATCATGTGTTTACATTTATTATAGTTGTTGTTCTTTCATTTCGTATGTCTGGTCTTTGTACATTTCTTAGTTGATATTTCTGACCCCACTCCTCTTTACTTTTGCGTTACACTTTTTTTATGTTTCATGTTTAGTTTCTTGTCTTGTAGTTGAAAGTGTGTTCTTCACATGAAATATTTGATTAATCGCTTTCCCTCCCTCCCCCTCTGTTACTGTGTTTTTAATCCATTGTACCCTAGTCCCACAAGACTGTTCAGAGTACCCTTAGCCTCTTAGCCTTCCCCTTGGAATCAGAAAATCCTAAACCAAACCTTCTTCCGTCAAGTTGATTACAACTCATAGCGACCCTATAAGACACGGTAGAACTGCCTTATGGGGTTTCTAAGGCTCTAAATCTTTATGTAAGCAGACTGAGGAGCTGCTGGTGGGTTCAAACCACCAGCCTTGTAGTTATCAGCCAAGTACTTTAACCACTGTGCCACCAGGGCTCCTTGGAATCAGAAAAGTCCCTGGGAATAAAAAGCCCTAAACAGTGGATAGCTCTCTGTGTCCAGGATGCTGGCTTGGTCATGGCTCTCAATGCCTACGGGCAGCTCCAACTTTTTTATTTATCCTCCCTAGAAGGATCAGTCTGCGTTACCCTATCCACAGTAATAGAAGGGGAAGTCTCAGTTAACTTTTCTATGGTAACAATATTTCTTTGTTGTCAGGTGCCTATTTCATTGTCTTACTGTTTATTTAATTATGCTGTATTAAGGAGCTTAACTAGTGTATATGGTTTGGGGAGCAAACACTACTGGTTTTTGTTAGCATATCATTCAGTTGTTGAGACTAGCAATATACAAACGTATAAAAGTTTTACTGGTTGTAGTTTAGCATACATGGACCTCACCTTTTTTTTTAATAAAAAGGAATATAGTGCATTAAGTCATCCAGCAAGTTTTTAAGTGGTAGTTAAGATTACTTCTACTATAGATGTGGTTCTTCTGCTTTAAGCTCAAGTACTAGAGGAAATCATACCTTAGGTAAAACTGCTGTACACAAACCTTAACTTTTTAAGTGTTTGTGATCGTTCATTATCATTAAACATCAAGTTTGTTTTTTTTTTTTAACTCATTCCTTTCTTCTTTATTGTCTTTTTTTTTAAATCTTTCTCATTTAAGAAATACTTATTCTTGTTTTCTTCAAGCCAGCATGCTAAGTTTTAGGGAGGAGAGAGTCATAGATCCTGACTGCCCCCCCAAAATAAAGAAAATGATTAAAGGGAAGCTATGTACAGAAATAATTGAAATACAAGACAGAGTGTAATGAATGAATTAAATGTCTAGATAAAGTGCTCAGTTTGTTCAGAGGAGCTTGAGTATTTTGAAGGGGATTTCCCACTTTGTTTTGAAAGTGCTTGGGTTTATTCTTCCAAACACCAGATTGCAGTGTATTTGAATCCTTCAGTTCTGTTACATATTTATAGAAAAAGTTTATAAATAGAACATATTCGTTCATTTTTAAGGATACCACTTATTGAACAAGAGTGCTGTTTTGAGCTCCAGTTTTATGTCTGTGACATAACTGTGTGTACTTGACATTTTTTCCCTCTGTTTATAGGAAGAGCATTAAGAAGTTGGTTTTGAAGAACCTTAATAATAGCAGTCTCTTTTCTCCTGTTAATCGTGATGCCGAAGATCTAGCTTCACCATCTGATTATCCAGAAAATGGAGAGAGGTAAACTGAAGTCTCTTGGGTTGTTCCTAGTGGAGAGCCCTGTTCTCATTTTGAGGAGATTCTGAGCTTAGAATTTTTTCATTTTATGAAAATTTGAATTATGAAGTTTTGTGAATGTTACATAGAAGTATTATAGCATGTGTAAATGCCTAGAAATTCAATCATGTTTTGCTTCTTGAATGGTTTAGACCTCTAAATTATTGGGGTTCTTCTGATTCAGTTCTGTAAAACTAGTTTGATATCATGTATGTTGTTTAGACAAGGTTTGTTTGCATTTGACACCCCTCACCCCCTTAAAAGAAGGGATATTTTGTTTGTGATGATTGTTAAAGTGATACATAGTCATTATAACGAAACCTTCCCCACCCCACCCCCAAAAAAAAATCAGTGTAGAAGTATATAAAGGAAGAAGTGAAAGTGTCCTCACTACTCGTTAGTAGTTTGGTATATGTTCTTCCACTTTGGACGTTTATTTATTTCTGTATATATTCTGTTAGATAAGTTGGGTAGAGTTTATGTGTATTCTGTAACCTGCTTTTTTCCATTTATTATAAATGCCTTTCCATTATCAGTATGCATGTATCTGCCTCCTGATTTTTACTTTTTCCCATACAAAAATTTATGCATGTGTTGTTTTGTGACTCTAATTGCTCTCCCCATACTATGACAGCACACTCCTCCTTTCTATCCCTGATACCCCATGTCCATTCAACCAGCTCCTAACCCTCTCTGCCTTCCCATCTCGCCTCCAGACAGAAGCTACCCATTTAGTCTCTTGTATCTACTTGAGCTAAGAGGCACACTCCTCATGAGTATCACTTTATGTCCCACAGTCCAGTCCGATCGATCCCTGTCTGAAGAGTTGGCCTCGGAAGTTGTTTTAATTCTGGGCTGATAGAAAATCCGGGGGCCATGCTTTCCAGGGTACCTCCAGTCTCAGAGCATTAAGTCTGGTGTTTTTACTAGAATTTGAGTTCTGCACCCCACCTTTCTCCTGCTCCATCTGGGACTTTCTGTTGTATTCCCTGTCAGGGTGGTCATTGGTGGTAGTCGAGCACCATCTAGTTCTTCTGGTCTCAGGCTGATGAAGTCTCTGGTTTATGTGGCCCTTTCTGTCTCTTGGGCTAATACTTTCCTTGTGTCTTTGGTGTTCTTCATTCTCCTTTACTCCAGGTGGTTGGGACCAATTGATGCATCTTAGATGGCTGCTTGCAAGTTTTAAGACCCCAGACACCACTCACCAAAGTAGGATGCAGAACATTTTCTTAATAAGCTTTGTTATTCCAGCCTAGATGTTCCCTGAAAGCATGGTCCCCAGACCCCTACCCCTGCTCCTCTGTCCCTCATTGCCTCCTGATTTTTAATGACTTCATAGTTTTCCACTTTGTGAACGTAAGATAATTCAACCAGTTCTCTATTAGTAGCCATTTAGATTATTTGGTATTCCTTTATTCAAAATAATACCTCAGTGAAAATCTTTATATATCTTCATGTACATCTTTGCACTCGTTTTTTTTCTTTCAATGATATCCTACTTTGATTCTTTATTAATAAAGCATTTTCTAACACCTTGCTGATTGTAATATTAAATATCTAAATTTTTGTTTGTTTTTTATATTGAAATTTGCCACAAGTCATTTGACCCCATATAATAGACCACACTGTAAAAAGAAATTAAAATCAAGATGCTCAGATCCATTCATTCCTGAAAATAGGTCAGTTAGAGGCATGGACATTAGAGACAGATTTCCTAGGTTAAAATCCCAACTCTCCCACTTAAAGCTTTATGACCTTGTGCAAGTTACTTTACCTTTCTGTGCCTCAGTTTCCTTATCTATAAAATGGAGATAGTGATAGTAATCTACTTCACACGATTGCTGTTAAGTATTAAATGAATTTTTAATATGTGGAATTGCCTAGAACAGTGCCAAGCTCTTAGTAAGGACTCAGTAAGGCTGACTGTTAACATTGTTACTACTACTACTACTACTACTACTACAGGGGCTAGATTTTTTTTTTTTTTTTTTTAAACCCTCCCCTTACAGATTCAGTTTCCTGAGCAAACGTGTTGATGAGAACCATCAGCAGGATGGAGATGATGATTCTCTTGTGTCACGTTTTTATACTAACCCTATTGCCAAACCCATCCCTCAAACCCCAGAGAGTGCTGGAAATAAACACAACAGCAGTAGCAGTGTGGATGATACCATTGTTGCATTAAACATGCGTGTTGCCTTGCGAAATGGTCTAGAAGGAAGCAGTGAAGAGACCTCTTTCCATGATGAGTCACTGCAAGATGATCGAGAAGAAGTAGAAAATAATACTTACCACATGCATCCGGCAGGTGAGATTCTAATTGGTACATGGTTAATCTCTTACCAGTTACTTGCAATCTCATTTGTCACAGATTTTCAACACAGTGAAAGTCAGCTCTCTGAACTTTTAAATATTGTTTATTGCATTTTATAGAGATTAACATTTAAATACTTTTCACTTATGCTTTAATTGATTGCTATTTCACATACTTTTGGGAGTAGTTAAAATGGGTAAATCACTGATTATTCTGGTGTAGTTTATAGAGCCCAGATTTTATAGCCAGGCAGATAGGGTTCAAATCCTGACACTTCCTTATAAACTCACTTGATTGCTTATTAGTTTTTTTGTTGAAATGGAAGTAGTAATTATTTCCTATTATATTAGGTTATTGAGATTTGAATTAGATAGGTATATGTACCGTAATGCCTGACATGTGTAGGCTCGCAAATAGTAGCTGTGGTCATGATTATTTAGTATTATCTCAGTTCTGTGCTTTCATTTTTTTTCAACAAAGACTAAGCCATTAAACAAATGTAAACTACAAGACCTGGGGGTCTTGATCACATAACTTAAATCTTTTTCTCTGTTGTTACATCTCAGTTGTGTTTTCATGAATGTCATCACATTCTTTTTGTTTTTTAATTGAAGTAAAATTTACATGTAATGAGCTGCATACATCCTGAGTTTTTATTTTGATGAATTTTGTCACACACACACAAACATATACATATATATATATAAATATGTTTTTCTTTCACTGTCCAACACCCTGTCAAAACATGTAACATTTATTTTACCCTGAAAAGTTCTCTTATGTCCCCTTTTAATCTATTCTGTCCCTCATAGTCTGTTCTTCAAATTGAATCATACTGTATATAAACTCTCTTTTTCACTCAATATAATGTTTATGAGATTTCATCCATGTTGCATATATCAACAGTTCATTCTTTTTATTGCTGAATAGTATTCCATTGTATAAAAATACAACATTTTGTTTATCCATTCTTCTGTTGATGGACATTACTGTTTTGCTTGTAGTGTCTACAATTTTTCTCTATTTAGCTATCTATTGCCTTCATGTATGTCTTCTGGTCACTTAGTGAAGAATCTCAAGTAGTCAGTACTTGTGAATCCATTATGATGTTTCATCTTTTCCTCAAATACTGAGTCAATAAATTTTTTATTGTTTCCAGGTTCTTTCATTGATTTTTGTTTGCTGCCACCCAATTTAGAGTTCATTCCCAAGTACTTTATTTATTTACTACCAAGTACTTTTAAACATTCCTACGGTAGGTACAGGCATGCCAACAACCCTCTAAACCTTGCCAGAAGAGAACCAAGCCAGGTGTACAAGTGGGCATTGCTGGAGTTTGATGCAGTGTCTGTCTTAAATTCTTTTATCTCAGAGAGCAGATTAGCCTGACCTTCAGCAACAAATGGAACATGGAGTGATTAAAATCAACATACCAGTGTTCTACTACTTCCTTTGAATGCTTCAGCTTTTTTTTGGTGTTGTCACCCCCATCTGACCCTTACTTTTAGATATGTTCAGAAACTCCCCTTCTCCACTTTAGAATTTCCTCTTCTTGCCCGTCAAATTTCACTAGATGTCTCTGAAATTTCTCTAGCTGATGCTTTTTTAAATAACATTAATATAGGCCTTTAAGTTTCTGTTTGTATATGGGATTTTCTCATGTAGGATTTTTCATGTTGGTTTTAGCTGTCTATTTGGGGATATAAGTTTGTAAGATGCAAGAGGTTTATGGGGGACAGTAAGCTATAGGGCACAAAGTATTGGAATTGGAATTTTAATGCCACCTCTGACACTAAATTACTATGTCAGCCAAGGCAAGTTATTTCCACCCAGGGTTTTAGATATCCTCATGTGTAGAAACAAAAGAAAAAAAAAAAATGATTAAAAAAACCTTTCCCAGAGTGTATTCTGTGGAATGCCATTTATACTGGGTATCATATGAAAAGAAGGTTCTGTGGTTAAGTCTAGGACACACTGGGTTAATCAAATTTAAACAGACTTCATTATTGTGAGAGTTTTCAGAGTCTTAATATGCTATCGTGTGTGTTCCTCAAACTTATTTGACCATGAAACTGTTTTTTAAAAAAAGCATCTTGTCTCGTAGGAATAGCATTTAATCAAAAACTACTTTGGAAAAATCCTTTATTCCTGTATATTTTTTCTCTATGTAATAATTTAGTTACTTTATTACAGGTTATTTTTTAAAATACTCATTTTGTAGAAATTTTTTAAAAAGAAAAAGAATGAAGTAAATATTCGTGAGACTTCTCTATCCAAGGATTATCACTATAATGTTCTATTTTGTTTCTTTTGTCACAGGTATTGTTCTTACTAAGGTTGGTTACTATACTATTCCATCTATGGATGATCTTGCTAAAATTACCAATGAGAAAGGGGAGTGCATTGTATCTGACTTCACTATTGGTCGTAAAGGTGAGTGTGAGTGTAGGAGTTAGTAGTGTATAAGCCTCAGAGATGTCCATCTTGTCTTTATAATTCAGTTAAGAGAAGCTCTTGAAAGATGAGTTTGTTTTTTCTTACATTTGTGCCCGCCACTTAAAATACTTGGCCTGAATAGTAGACACTTTGATTGACAGCAAAACAAGAATAACTAGAACCATATAACATTCTTTGGACTTAGGTATACCTGTTTGGGGTTGGTAACTTTTTGGCCGATTTTCAGTTTTCGGCAAGTAAGGAAAATACTAGAAAGATCAAGAAATATTAAGTAAAAGAATTGAATAGTTAACAAGAGATGGCTAATACTTTTGTTGAACTTCATATTATTAAATTATTAAACATACAGTTTCCTTGACTAGGAGGAGATCTCATCTTGCTGTTTGTAGGAAAAAGTGTCAGGTGTTTTAACTAACTGCAGCCTAGATGCTAAGGGTTGTTTATGTAATGTAGCAGCATTACAATACTTAGGAAGAGATTTAAGAAGGCTGTTTTGAGGACAGCAGAAGTATTGTAAAAATGCAAATGTTAGACCAGTTAACAGTCTAATTGATGTCACCCCGTGTTCCCATGCTTACAATATTGTGGAGAAATAACCCACTTTAGGAATTGCTGGATAATTTAAAATCTTGACTAATGTTTAAAGCTGCTTGCTTCTTCTGATTTTTTCATCACTGGAGTTGTGTAGTAGGTATGTGCCCTCATAGGAATGAATTTTTAACTGTTTGCTCTGATTTGTAGGTTATGGTTCAATATATTTTGAAGGAGATGTGAATTTGACAAATCTGAATTTGGATGATATTGTACATATTCGAAGGAAAGAAGTGATTGTCTACTTAGATGATAGCCAAAAACCACCTGTGGGTGAAGGACTAAATAGGTATGAATTTATTTACATAACATAGAAATAAGTAGCTAAACCACATTTTTTTTTTTAATAAACTCTAATGGGATCATACTGTATACATTGTTCTGCAGCTTGCTTTTTTGACTTACTGTATACCATGTGATTATTGTGTCTCTGCTCTCATTTGAAAGTATAAATGATAAAGAAGTGCTGCTCTGTGATTTTTTAAATTTTTTTTACCCTCTCCTTTTCCCTAATATTCTCAGGTCCAACTGCTAGTTTCCCAGCACACTGTTTAATAGTATTTTATTTTGCTCCGTCCCCCCCACTCCTCCCGTGACATGGCCATGCTTAAGTCTTTCTCTGTATTTTAACCTGAGATTCTAACTTCTGATATCTCTTCAGTCAGGTGAAAGGGCCATGGTTTAAATGGTCTGTCTTGAAATTTTGTAGCCACGTTTGGAGTAGCAGCTCTAGTAGCACCATTCTCTGGGTCTTATTTGTTCTATAAATTTGTTTTATTCATTAGTATGATTGCGTACTTATTCTGTGCTAGTCACTGTACTAGATACAAGGCATACAAAATGAATACGATGTTGTCTTAGTCATGTGGTGCTGCTGTAACAGAAGTACCACAAGTGGATGGCTTTAACAAAGAGAAATTTATTTTCTCAGAGTCTAGTAGGATAGAACTCCAAATTTAGGCTATCAACTCCAGGGGAAGGCTTTCTCTGTTGGCTCTGGAGGAAGGTCCTTGTTGTCAGTCTTCCCCTGGACTAGGAGCTTCTCTGTGCAGGAACCCCAGGTCCAAAGGACATGCCCTGCTCCCAGTGCTGCTTTCTTGGTGGTATGAGGTTCCCCGTTTTAGTGGCTTCCCTTTCCTTTTATCTCTTGTAAGATAAAAGGTGGTATAGGCCACACCCTAAGGAAACTTCCTTTACATTGAATCAGGGATGTGATGTTAGTAAGGGTGTTAAAACGATCCTACCCTAATCCTCTTTAACGTAAAATTACAGTTACAAAATGGAGGACAACCACACAATACTGGGAATCATGGCCTAACCAAGTTGACACACATATTTTTGGGGGGACATAATTCAACCCATGACACACATAGTCCTTTAACTCGGGTATTGATATTAGAAGGACTACATTACTACTATTGTAGTTATCTTCATGTACTGATTATTTATGGTTAGTACTGTGATATTCCTGATACTTCTTTCTGCCAGTATTTGGTGTTAATAAATGGTAGTAACGCTACTATTACTGTTGTTGCTGTATTGTTATTAAGTACAGTAGAACTTAAGACCTACACTAAGACCTAGGTCTTAGCACTGGACTGTGACCTAAATTACTTGGTCAAGGGTTCATTGCCTAAGTGTTACTAAAATTATATTAAAATAATTAATGTACTGTGGTAGTTTGAAATAAATGCAGTCTGATTGCAGAACCAAATATTGAGCCAGTTTATGTGGTGGTGACTCTTTGCTCTTAAGTTTATCTACCTGGGAAGGCAATACTCAGGTTCATGAAACACCTACAGTATAATTCCAAGGTAACATAGCTACTTTTATTTGATGTTTGTATAGGTGTTAGTTGGCTTTCTGGTCTTAAATATGAAGCATTTGCATTTTACTTGGTTGTACTTTACAGGAAAGCTGAAGTTACATTGGATGGAGTTTGGCCAACAGATAAAACATCTCGTTGTTTAATAAAGAGTCCAGATCGACTTGCTGATATCAACTATGAGGGGAGACTGGAAGAGGTTTCAAGGAAACAGGGAGCTCGGTTCAAAGAATATCGGCCTGAAACTGGTTCTTGGGTGTTTAAGGTACAGCCACTTATCCCATTTCTGACTATTATAAATTGTAGTTCAAGTCACAACATGTTTTTTTGGAACTCTGCCATTCTCTTTATTTTTGGGGATTAGGAAACAGGTCTAGAGACACATGATGATTTGTTCCAAATAACACAGCTAGTTAAAACTCAGCAAAAATGAGCTTACGGGCTCATGATTCAAATCCTCTTCTCCAACCTATGAGCATGGAGATACATTTGTAAGGTGTGGGTTTTCTAATCTGTGGCATCATTAGGAACTTTAGTAATTCATCAGACCTAATTCTTTGCCTCTTGGTAGATAACTCTTCCTAAATTTCTGAAAGTGAAGCGATTAAGACTTTCTGCCTTCCTTGATAGTTTGGCTCAATGTTTTCTTCCTCTTTTGGCCAGTTGGATTATTTAACTTGTTGAAGACCCTTGTGTAGGTAGAGAATAATGAGGCAGTATTTAGATGTGACGAAGTAGCATCTTTGGATTTGGTTTTCTATATTAATAATTGCATTTAAAATTGTGTGTGTGTGTATATATATATTCATTCATTTACTAATAATATTAGAAACTAATACATGTACCCAACATCATCTAAATCTTAAGAAAAATAGTAGAGTATAATGGGTGACATTTTGCCCTCTCCGTTTCCCTCTTCCTCTCCCTCTCCCTGTAACCCTGCAAGATTGTAAGGGCAAGTATTGTGGAAGCTCTTTTGAATATAACAATGTTAAATTTTTTTTTTTTTGGATTATCCTCTCTCTTAGGTCTCCCATTTTTCTAAGTATGGTCTTCAGGATTCTGATGAAGAGGAGGAGGAGCGCCCATCCAAAACTAGTACAAAGAAGTTGAAGACTGCCCCTGTGCCTCCTGCAGGCCAGACTACCCCATTCCAGATGGCTCTTAATGGCAAACCAGCACCTCCACCCCAGGTAGAGAAGGGACAGTGAATTTGAATGGAATCCATGATACAGAAGTTGAAAGCAAGTCATTCAGCTAATACAAAGCTGTTTTATGACCCCTGGAACTTTGAAGAGTACAAATGTATTGGCAATCACGTTGAGACAAGTGCAAGGGAGGGTGTGAGGTGGTACTGGCATCTGTTTTTTGCTTGAGAGATTTAAAGAATTCTCTTGCTGTTTGGATCATTGCTTCTACAGATTGTCATTTTTAAATACCTCCCTCTCTCATTTGGACTTGCTGAATTCTCTGCTCAGCGATCAACCCAGGATAGCATTTTGCTCATGTGGGTTGATACGAAGTAATTCCTACTTTTGTTGACTACCTGGTGTGCAGTTTAATCTTGTTCTTTACCGCCGTGGTTTTTTAAAAATTAGCTTTCTGCAAGAGTTTTTAACTCCATTTTTCTCAAATTGTTTGCTTATACTTCAGGTAACCTCTTGATATTTGTATTTTAACAATACGTAAGCTTTATGGAAATAGATAAAGTTTTAAAATTCAAATGAATTGTTTGGCTTGGGGAGGAGAGTAGAGGCTGCGCTGTTTATTGCAATTACTTATACCATACTCTTTTTCAGGATTGTTAAGCCAATATAGACCTTTTGTCCTTGTGAGGAAAGGTTTGTAATTTAAATATCAGGTAGTTTCTTTGAATGCCAACTCATAAAGAGTTTTACTTTAATTTGGATGTTGTTTATATTCAATCAAGTTATAAAGATATTTTTCTTTTGCTGCCATACTCCCTCAAAGAAGAATTTTTGATACAAGATTTCTTTGTAAAGCATACTCTACCTCTCAGCTACTGAATGCTGGAACTTTGGAATTTTCCGTGCTACAATTCCTGTGGCTGCTGAAATGTGCAATTTTTATGATTTATTAAATAATTTCTTGGGATGCATTTGCTGGAGAATGTTGTGTATGTATGTTCATGCTTGCATGCACAGGGTGAGGGGAGGGTGTGGTAAAAGTGGGAAACTGAAAATATGTTGACTTTTATATATATCGTCTTTGTAGCGTTTAGAATACCCCTAAGAAATCTCTTCTGAGCTAAAGAAATGCAGTAAATGAACTTGGTTTTTTTGTTCATTTTGTACTATGTTCATTTTAGGTGAATTCGTATGCTTTGTACAATCCCTTTCCAAAGTGTTTTTTGATGTTAACATTACAGGTATTTTTTAGAGAGTCAAATAGACTTATTTTCAGCTGATGAAAGTAATGTTTAGGACCCTAAAGATGCAGCTGGGAAAAAAAAAAAAAGAAAGCTTCATCTCTGGACAGACAGCACAAATTTATGTAATGTTGGCAATCAGTGGTTAAAATGCACATAGGAGATAAGTATAAATCCCTCTAATGACATTTCAGTAGGTAAAAGCTCTTTGGAAAACCTGAGCCCCCCAAAATTTCTGAAGAACGTGATTCTAGCAAAAAATGAGAGAATTTAAAAAGGAAAAAAAAGTAGACAGATGGTAAGGATTCAAAATCAGCCAATACTGTGAAAAAGGGATCTGTTTTAGCGTATTTCCTTTGATCGAGGAAGTGGATGGTTTTTGAACTTTTGTATGGGAGAGCAGATATGGCAGAAATTGGTAGAGGTCTTCAGATAATTAGGCCTTAAATTTTGTTTGCTTATTTGTTTATGAAGGCCTTGAGCTTAGTGTGTTAGAGCAGTAATGCAGGACTGTAAAGAACTCTTCCTTTATATTGGCCAGTGACCTAGATGAGACAGGTGGGAAATGCCGGTGGTTGTGGTTTTTCTTTGTTAGCACCAAAAAAAAGTTGCCTTCAAGTCAGTTTTGACTCATTGCAACCCTGTGTGTGTCAGAGTAGAACTGTACACAATAGGGTTTTCTATGACTGATTTTTTTGGAAGTAGATTTCCAGGCCTTTCTTCTGAGGTACTCTGGTTGGACTCAAACCTCCAACCTTTTGGTTAGCAGCTGAGTGTGTTAACCATTTGCATCACCCAGGGACTCCTGTTAGCACCAAAGATCCTAAATTTTGTTTGGCAGAGAAAAATACTTGAACCACCTGAGTGAACCATAAACAGACAGCACAGTCTTCTCTTCCTAGTGGCAAAATGATTATCTTCACACTGTCACCTGGCGCCTTGGAGAGAGGTTGATTTACATGATACAGTGTTCCTACAGTCTGCTGTAGCACTTTTTCCTGTATACAACCTCAAGTTCTCTAACATTTTTTTTTCTTCTGATGTTTCTTTAGGTATTTAGGAAGATTTGCATTTTTGTTTAATGATCACATTACCTTACCTTTTATATAATATCCTCAGTTCCCTCTTTGCAGTTGGTTCTCAAGCGTCATTTTTGCTCCTAAAAAAGCAAGTAAATCTAAACAACCAGAAAACATAAAGGTAACTAAATTTTTATGTAATCTTGTTTCCTGTACCTTTTAGGTTAGAGAAAATGTTGATATTCCACACAAATGAATTAAGGCAGTCGAAGAGAAGTTTGTTCTGTAATTAAAATAATGGTGCCAAAATGCAAGTTTGAGCTCCAGCTCCTAGTTGGCTGTATCAGAATACCTTTGTCAGCTTAACTTTGATTCCATAGATCTGGCATAGGTCTCAGGCATATTTATATTTTAAATAGTTCTCCTCTGGTGATTCCGATATACAGCCAGGTTTTGAAACTGCTTGCTGAAAAGACCTCAGACCTTTGACACACAGGTAGAGATACATGCAGCTTTTTACTTCAGCTTTACACTAAAGTGTAACTTGTGTTCACTTACACACGGCAGGCCTGTTGAATTGCTCAGAAACTTAACATCGTTTACTCAGTGAGTTTATTCCGATAAGTTAAAAGGGAAAAAGTGATTAGGATTTAGAAGGAAATCCCATTTTATTTCGTATATACTATGAAATAAAATGACAACACTGTAAATTGACTCATTGAATTAATACATATATACGTATATGAGGAAACCTGATGGCTCACTGTTTAAGTTCTCAGCTGCTAACCATAAGGTTGACAGTTCAAACTCACTAGCTGCTCCATTGAGAGAAAGATGTGGCAGGCTGCTTCCATAAAAATTGCAGCCTTTGGAACCCTATGGGGCAGTTGTAGTCTGTCTTATAGGGTCACTATGAGTTGGAATCGACTTGACAGCAGTGGTTTTTGGTTATACATATGTGTTTTATATTTTTATGCATATATATATAATAATTTTATAGCCATAAGCTTCTTCATTTCAGATATTATTGAAGGACAGATTCATTTTCTTACATATCAGTTTGAAAAATTTTTTGCACATTAATTTAAAAATCAAATATGGAACTGTTAATTTTATAAGATTTTTGCCTTCTGCAGTAATATCCCTGAATGCATGTGTAGAAACATACACGGTTGCCTTAGTGGGCCCTTGAAACCCTGACATGGAATTTCTCTTGAGGACTTGATATTGTTGAGAGGGCTGAGTTTCAAACAAAATGAATATAAAGCATTCTTTGCAATTAGAAAACAGATTGTTTTGCAGGCAGGGAGGCAGGCAACAGCAGTAGTTATTTGGATTAAATGGGCTGAGAGGAAGTATGAATTATTTAAACATCTGTTAGTCTTTGGACTAGTCATTCACTCTTTGTTTAATAAGGATGTCTTGATTTACCTCTTTTACCTACCGACTTAGTAGATTTTTTTTTTATCATTAGGGTATTGGCAGCCTTGTTTGTATGAGAAAGATTCTTTTGCTTTGAAAGTGGAAGGTTTTCAAGTCATTCAAGGTTTCAGCCATAGTTCTTCAGTGAGCTCCTCACCCTCCATGTATTCAGGCAGATATTATCTGTGTACTTAGTTATTCATAAGACACTGTGCTGGTACTCAGAAATAAATATGATCCTATCTTCAAGAGAGGAAGTAGGAAATGTAGTGTAGGAAAGGGACAACTCAGTATAGGAAAGCCTGTTGGGCTTTTCCCAGTACAAGCCTTTCTTTTTCTGTAGACCTCCCAAAAGGCATCTCCCCCATCTCCCACCCCAGTTCCTTCTGTGCCATCATTTTTGTTGGTCTACTTTTCTTTCCAGGACTGTCTTTGAAGAAGGACCTGTTCTCCTAAGATTTCTCTGAAACTAAGGACACAGACCTTTACCCTTTTTTGGGGGGAGTGGGAGGTGGGGGGTTTACTGCAATTATATATACTTTAACAGAATTCATATATAAAGGTTATAAAAATTTATCAAGTCCTCATAGTTTCATAGTAATTCCCCCTTGTCCACTTATTAGATGATACCTGGGTAGCTTTCGAGTCCATACATCAGGGTGGAGCAAATAAAACCTTAATTCTTAAACATCTTTCTTAAGGATATGCTGAATACCTTAGGTCTCATATAATCTTCCCATTTTGCCTGAAACTGTTGTAGGTGAGCGTCTCCTACTTTTAGTATTATTCCTTTGTTGAGTAGTGTAATAAGTTGGAGCCGTCCTTCCCGTTTGTACTTTCCATCCTCATCCCTTCTTGTCCTTTCTCATTTATTAATTGCTTTCTCTACTGTGTGACAGGCACTGCATTAGGCAGTAGAAATAAGTGTTCAGTGAATGTGGAACTGAACTGAACTATGAGCTTGGTGTTAGACACAGAAAATAGTAGGACATAATCCCTGTTTTCAAGCCAATCTGGTGGGGAAAACATATATATACAAGAAATCATAGTATGTTGTGATATGTGGTATTAAAAAAGTATAAACAGTGTTATGGGAACCCAACAGAGGCGGATATCCTGACGATTGACAGGGGATGGAGAGTATCGAGACCTTTCCCAAAATTGTTAGGCTAAAAGTTAACATACTAGGGAATCTGTGGTGTGAATGGTTGAGAGTGTTTTCCCATAATTCTTGTAATGGGAGCATCATCACCAGGGTTTCTTTTTTTTTTCTTTCTTTCTTTTCCCAGTATTTTAAGGCGTTAGAGCCATCACACCTGCCTGTAGCCTCCCCAGTAGGTGAAAAATGGCACCATTGCCTTTTGACCATTATGTAGCCTCCAAGAATTTTGTTCAAACAGCCCTGGGGATTGTTCACATTGTAACTGGCATTTCATCACGTGTCCAACACCTCAATTTTTCTGTGATTGTAAATGGACGCACTCATTCTTTTGATTAGAGTATTTGTTAAAAGAATGAAGGGTAGCAGTAGCTAATATGTCATTCAAGATAAAGCTGAAAGTTACAACTAATGGTTGTTTTTTTGTCCAACAAAATCATGAAAATTTTTTTTTTAAACTACTGCTTGTGTAATAGCATCCATTTGAGGGTTAGCATAAAATAGGCCACTTGTAAAAGAGCTGCCAAAAATCGTGAAAGGACAAAAATCTGCAGATGATGTGATGATAAGAAAAATAATTGGTAGGCCTTTTTGGTATGAAGATGTTTCATAAATTGGCTCAATCATTTCTTAATATTTTACCAGGTTATATGTGAGTTTAGGCCTTAATTTGTACTGAACTAGTTATTTTAGAATGTACTTGAGGTTTTTGGTTTTTGTTTTTTATTTTTAGTTCACCCACATATCCTTGATAGTATTTTGATTGCTCTTTAATAATAGTTAAACTCATGGTTTGTGTCTTTTTTACTGATACCATTCATTACTTTAATTTTTTTTTTTAATTGGGAATTGAGATTGTTCTAATTATCTGGTTTGTTTTTAAATTGTGGTAAAATATATAACAAAACATTTGCCATTTTAACCATTTTTAAGTATACAATTCAGTGACATTAATTGCATTCACCAGGTTGTGTAACCATTACCATTATCCATATTCAAATGTTTTTCATTCTTCTAAACAAACTCAGGACCCCTTTAAGTAGTTATACTCTATTTCCCTTCCCCCAGCTCCTGGTAACCACTGATAAATTTTGTTTTCTATGTGTTTACTTATAGAATATACTTCAGTTTTATAAGCGTTTTACCTTTTCAAACTATAAACTGTTAATCATGGTTATATCTTTAAAGGTGCTTAATAAATGTAAATATAATTCTTAAAGCTTTTAAGCAAAAAGATTTTTCCCAGATTAAAATTGTTCCTAATATCATTACTTTGGTTTTCTTTTTGGGAAATTAGACATTCCTTGTATCTTACATGGTACTGCACAGGTAGAATCTGGCTAACCTTAGCATTCAGTTACCGAAAAGATAAATTCCAGGCCCAAAATTGTGTTTTGCTAGAAATTTATCTCTAAATGTTTTCTTTAAGAAAATGCAAAGTTACTGGAGACTTTGATATTTGTATCTTTTGTTCTCTTTTCCCAATGACTTCTGGCTACAAGGCAGTGTGAGGCAGGGCGAACCTGTGTAAATCGGAAAATTATAGTTGCTAGCTATCAGGTAAGGCATAATGTTTGTGTCTGAAGACCACCATTTGCTTTGGTATTTGTCATTTAGCTTATGTTCCTAAGGTCCCAAATAATCAAGGCCTTGGATTTTGGCTTAGGTTCCAGACACTAGACCATAATGTTACAAAAGGGTGATTCCATGAACCCTCATTTGGATCCCAAGTAGTTATTGGGGGAGTTTTGGGTAATTGTTGTTAAATCCTCTTTAGCAAATATGCTACCTCATTTCATGAGGAAATGGACAGAACTTGATATTGATTTATTATATTATGAATTAACTAAATCTGGTCTAGAAACTTTCCATTTGGTGTAATTTAATGCTGCTTCCCTGATCTTTCTGCTGTCCACAGAGCCAAAGCCCAGAAGTGGAGCAGTTAGGGAGGGTTGTGGAGCTGGACAGTGACATGGTAGATATCACCCAGGAGCCAGTTTTGGATTCCATGTTAGAAGAGAGCATGCCTGAGGATCAGGAACCTGTGTCAGCCTCAATACACATTGCATCTTCGTTGGGAATTAATCCACACGTTTTACAGGTGAAATCCTAACCCACCGTTTTTACAGCAGGAAGCCAGACTAATATTTTATCACCCTTGCATAACATCAAGCCACTTCCTTGATTATCCACTTAAGAACGTTGAATGTTCACTGGAATAAGAAAAAACAGGAACATGACCAAGGTTTGGGTCTTGTTTTTCCATTTAGGGAGACAAGGCTGTATTGAGAATCAGAAGATACAGCTTCAGATCTTAATTGCATGAGAATTAGAAGACCTAGATTCTAATCCTAGTTCTATAATTTATTGCTGTGTGATTTTTGGCAAGTTACTTAACATTTGTGAGTGCTGATTTTTCTCTTCTATAAAATACTACTTTGTTTACAGGGTAGTTTTGATGGTCTGTAAGTGCTCCACAGAAGTTAAAAAAACCTGGGAGATACAGGTTTTTTTAACTTCTGCCTCAGCTTCCCCTTGCCTGGTGTCTTTTGATATGTTATGAGTTTAGCCTCTGGCTTATGTTTGACTTTAAAATTATTCAGCAAACCCGTGAGCAACTGCTGTGTACCAGACTCTGGCAAGAGTCTGTAGATAACAAAGAATAGTATGATATGACTTCTGCCTTTCAGGCACGTGTACAGCATAATAGAGCCAGTCACACGAATGTTATCCCAGCTCTGAACATAGCCTTGAGGCAGAGCGATTTATTGGTCTTCATAAATTGCATTTTTCTTTTATGGCATTGCCTTTTTAGATCATGAAAGCATCATTGCTTACTGATGAAGAAGATGTAGATATGGCCCTGGATCAACACTTCAGCCACCTTCCTTCCAAAGCAGATACTTCTCAAGAAATCTGTTCTCCCAGACTCCCGATTTCAGCGTCCCACTCATCGAAACCCCGTTCATTAGGTACTGTAAAAGAAGGTGCTGTATTACAAGAAAGCTGTAGAGTCATCAAGGTCTGCTTTTCATATTATCCTCTAAGTTGAGTGGACTTCTCTAGTAAATATTCCCATAAAGGCCATACCTATGATGTAGGGTGTTAGAAATTGTACTCTATTAGGAGTGGCCAGATTTTAAGAACCATGACTAGCTCTATTGGTTGCAAATGCAGAGGTTGTACGGAGAAAAAAAGCATTTGTGCTTCGTTTGGGGTCATGTTTTTGTCTGTTATATAAATATGAATGGTAAGCTTAGAATTTCTGGCTTTTATCAAACCTTACTTAGAGGAATCAGCAAATTGTCCTGCACTACACTGTTCGTGCAGTCCTGATACTATCCTGGAGCCCTGTGTGGTTAAGAGCTTGGCTACTAACCAAAAGGTTGGCAGTTCAAATCCACCAGCCACTCCTTGGAAACCCTATGGGGCAGTTCTGCTCTGTCCTGTAGGGTCACTATGAGTCAGAATTGACTCGATGGCAACAGGCTTTGGTTTTGAATATTATCCTTATTGTCTTCTAGGGATAAATGTTGCCTGTCATAATACACAAAACTTGTCAGAGTTCTACTTTTCCCTAACCTCATATTCCCAGGGAGGTGATTACATGTTTAATTTTAAAGCCTTCCCTTTTTTATCCTGGTGGGCTTGTAACTATGTGAAATTAGAGATGTAGAGTATTGATATCAGCAAAGGACTTAAGCAGATATAATCTCAAAACATTTTGAAACCCAGAGGCACACCAGAAAGAGATTTGTTTATGTTACCTTAAAAATAAAATGTTTATTTTTCAGTTCTTTTGAGTACCCTTATTAACTTTACTTTTTAAAGCATTTTAACTGATAAAGCATCAATTAGACTTCATAATAACCATTTCCATAATGGGCACTACATGAAAATCTCATATTTCAGTAATGCTGTGCTTTACACAGGAACCATAAAATTGAAGAACAGGCAATGGTAGCAAGAACTGTCCTTCAGAAAGGCACATACACAGTCACAAGATGCCTCAGTGTGTTTTCATTTCCTTAGGTCTAGCATTGAGCATTACAATTGTGTGAATTTGAGTTTTTATCTTATTTTTTTATATGGACTGAGTGTTACATTTGGGATCATTGTAAGGGCATGAGCATTGGTGTCAGACTGACCTGGGCTTATCTCCCAAGTCCTGCCACTTAATAGCTTTGTGAGTTTGGACAAGTCACTTATCTGAGCCCAGTTTTCTCACACATAAAATGGAGATTATAATAATAAAGTTATTGAAGGATGGAATTTCTTAAAAATACAAACAGCTTGTACATAGTGTGTTAGAAATGTGTTAGCTAATTTTTAATAGTAGTAGTAGTACTGTTTGTTATTAATATTATTATTGTTGACATCATTATCATTAGAATTCCTGTCTTGGTTTCCTGGTTGAAAGAGTTAGTAATGTATGCCAAATCTAACTTAACTTCTAATCGTCCACATCTGATTTAATTAGTTTGGTAAAACTTTGTATAATTTCAGCCTCACTGCTTTTTGTTGTTAAAGAGGAATAGACTAATTTCTAATAGTCATCTTTTTCCCCCTCATTTCAGTTGGTGGTTTACTACAATCAAAATTTACAAGTGGAGCTTTTCTTTCACCAAGTGCCTCTGTGCAAGAATGTCGTACTCCTAGAGCATCATCTCTAATGAATATTCCATCCACATCCCCTTGGTCTGTCCCTCCACCCCTGACCTCTGTGTTTACAGTGCCCAGCCCAGCCCCTGAGGTTCTGTTGAAAACAGTGGGTACACGCAGGCAGCCAGGCCTAGTCCCTCTTGAAAAGTCTGTCACGTATGGCAAGGGGAAACTCTTGATGGACATGGCCCTATTTATGGGACGCTCGTTTCGTGTTGGTTGGGGCCCCAACTGGACTCTTGCTAATAGTGGAGAACAGCTGAGTGGCTCCCATGAACTGGAAAATCATCAGATTGCTGATTCTATGGAATATGGATTCCTGCCCAATCCAGTAGCTGTTAAATCGTGAGTCACGTTTTTTTATCCTTTTAGAGAAAGGCAGCATGGCAGGTGAGAACTATTTATTTTCAGGAGACCAAGGTCAGGGCCCTGCTTTATGTCCATTCTGGATATATTCTTACCGTAATTTTAGACATAGAAGATACCTGGATAATAACAAATGAAAATTATTAATTAGATAACTCCATTTGTACTATCACGGTATGAAGTGTGTGTAATACTTACCTAACAGTTAAAATTTAGTTGAAAGTGTAACAGACCCAAAACTAATGCTATAACATTCTTTGGGTTTTTGGCCTTTTTATTGTATTAGCTTTTTTTCTTGCAGATATTTTTGATTTCTTCATATATAAACAATATTCTGAACTAAACACATTTCCTTTATCTTACACCTGATAGGGTGGGCTTATGAACTGTGGATAGTCCATGCATAAGTATCTGGAAATAAGATGATCTGATAACTATATTTGTTTCTCCGCACTCTACAGCATTAACATTCACATATGCATGCTTCTTGTTCTATGTACACTTTATATACCCACCTTACAGATTATATATACATTTTTCTTGTAGTTATCAGCCAGTATATTTATACAGCTGTTTCATGTAAAATATGTAATATGTATTTTCCTGTTTACTTTTTATAATTATGGCAACTTGGGCTATGTTTACTCCAGGTTAAGTGAATATGTCCTGCTATTGTTTTTTAGTTTTTAAAGTTGACTTTGAAAATGTAAAAAACAAGACCATCTCTTGAACTTCACAGTTAGGACTATTGAGCCTAACCTAGTGATTAATTCTAGATTAAGCATAATTTCATGATATTTTAGAGGTCATTAGTATTAGTTTTAGAAATTGGATCAAGGCCAGATTGAGTATATGCTCATCTTAATTTAGAATCACTTTCTTAGTATCTAAAGCTTAGCCTTGTGGCTTTTGATACCTCACTACTAAGTATAATTTTAGGAATGGGTATCTTACAATAGCTATTGGCCCGTGGATTTTGTCATATCCAGAGACATGCTCAAACCAGTTCCATAACTGTACTGATTCCTATCCTTGTTATAACCTAGCCTAAGAAGCTTTTAGGTTTTGAATGTACAGGTCAGGTAATTTATTTAGTATATAGCAGTTAGGTTCAGTATAGTTTGACATAATAAACCAAAATTTCCTTAAAATTATAGTGAAATATTTTGCTGTTTATAGTCATAAAAAGAAGCAAAGGTTTGATTGTAGGGAAATCCTAGCATCTGTGTTATCTTCATTTTCTATTGTGTTGTTCATTTGCCTTGTAGTCTAACTGAGTCCCCATTCAAGGTTCATTTGGAAAAACTCAGTTTGAGACAAAGGAAGCTGGATGAGGACCTGCAATTATACCAGACACCTCTAGAGCTCAAATTAAAACATAGCACCATCCACGTGGATGAGCTGTGTCCTCTCATTGTCCCCAATCCGGGAGTTGCTGTCATTCATGACTATGCAGATTGGTCTAAAGAAGCATCAGGAGACTTAATGGAAGCACAGAGTGAGTATGCACTATTATGCTTGTAGCCTTTGATGTCCCAGGAACAGAGGTAGTAGTATGTGTACGTAGGAGGGAACATTTTCTTACATCAGTGTAGTAGGTGGATGCCTGAGTGTTTTACTTTTCTGTAGTTGAGTTGGGATGAGCAGAATTCTAAACAACAAGAAATTGTGGCATTGTTTACAATTATTCTTATGCCCTTTAATATACAAATCCTTGTTGAAAGAACTGTGGCCAGTCAAATCCCTGGGATTTAGGAAATTGCAGTCCTTTCCCATCCCAGAGGATAAAAGAAATACATTGATTCCTTCTTGCTTTTCTAAACACTACCTGTTCTTCTGTGTCCAGCTCAAGTCCCACTTGATCTTCCCAACAATGTTGGTATTTATAATTGCCTTTCTGACTTTTGGCACCATTTACTCTGTACAGCTATTGTGACCATGTCCTGCTGAACCAATACTTTGATAAAGGGTTTTTTCCTAATTTGGGAACTTAATATGTTGAATAGTATAAAAATCATATTTAACTATCAGTAAAACCTGCAAGAGCCAGAACCCGGGTAGGGAGGGAAAACTCAAAATATTTTTCACCAATAGAGGGCAATAGAAAAGTAGAAAGTGGTAAGACTGCACCCTGTCGGAGGCAGAAAACTTTCGAGACCTGGAAAAACAAGGCAGTCCCTTCGAGTTCTGGCTTACACAGGTTTCACTGTACATGTTCAACAAACCCCCTTTACTGAAAAAGGACAATATTTTAGAATATACCATACCACAGATTTTGGGACTTATTTGTGTTCATTCCTGTGTGTTTGCTTCAGTTGTCTCATCTTTTCAAATGTATAAGTTACCTTCTCAGTACATTTGTAAGTGGCTTGAAGCGATAAACAGTGCTCCCTTTTTGTTTTGTTTCTTGAGGGGCAATATTGCATAGTGGTTAAGAGCATGGAGTTGGACTCATATTGCCTGGGATGGAATCCTAGCTCTGCTACATATTGTTTATAACTTTGGGCAAGTCAGTTAACTCTATACCTCAGTTTCCTCGTCTATAAAATGAAGAAGGTAACTACTACCTTATAGTATGTTGTGTTGAGTAGACTCGGTTTACACTAAGTGCTTTGAGCAATGTTGGTTAGACTCACTAAATGTTAGACTGTGCCCTATAATAAAAAAAATTAAAAGTTGCCATTGAGTCAGTTTTGACTCATGATAACCCCATATGTTTCAGAGTAGAACTGTACTCCATAGGGTTTTCAATAGCTGTGATCTTTTTAAGTAGATTGCCAGGCTTTCTTCTGAGGCACCTCCAACCTTTTGGTTAGTAGCCAAGCGCTTAACTGTTTACATGACCCAGAAACTCCTGTGTCCTATAGTAGGCGAGGATAACCTTTCACAAGTTTTGAGTAGTTTTGCATTTCTTAAAGTGTTCTGTAGACATAATCTGATCAAATTAGAGCACCTTTTCTCTGTTATAGCATAATTGGGTTATGGGAACCTGTTTAAAGAAGAATACAGTTAGGTTTATTATGAAAGTTATCACAAGAAAAAAAATGGGCAGTGAGCAATAAGTTATACACCCCTGGGGCTTGTAGGACAAAGCTGAGTAAGGTGGAGACAGATTCAGGGTAATCAATTTGAGTGGTGGTTTGAGTATTTATTTTATTAATGTATTTTTAAGCCACAAGTAATGCCCTCTCTGGAGTTACTGTAAGACTTAGTGTCATAGCATTGTTTTCCTGTCCCTTCCTTAGTTGTGAAGCACTGGAGCCTGACCTGGACATTATGTGAAGCCCTTTGGGGCCACCTGAAGGAGCTTGAAAGCCAGCTGGACGAGCCCAGTGAATACATTCAGATTCTGGAGCGTCGAAGAGCTTTCTCCCGCTGGCTCTCCCACACTGCTGCACCTCAAATTGAGGAGGAAGTCTCCTTAACCCGGAAAGACAGTCCTGTGGAGGCTGTCTTCAGCTTCCTCACGGGCAAGAGGATCAGTGAGGCCTGCTGTCTGGCCCAGCAGTCAGGTAGGGCTTGTGGTCCTTTTCTGCACCCCTGCCTACTTCCTACCTACTATCCGCTACCCATTAATTATGGATTTGCCTTTGTCTTCTAACCTGAAAATATTGTATGTAGACTCCCAGGAAGATTGCCGGTTCCTCCAGAATATAAGTTATGCTTTCTAGTTCCACTTTTAGAATCTTAAACATTAAATTTACTTAATTCACGTTATTTTAATTTTATACATTACATATACATTGTAATAAAGATAGAAAATGCAAATAAGCAAAAAACTGTAAATTAAAATCCCCCAAATCCTATAACTCACCACTACTCACTGTAAACATTTAAATGTGCAGTTTGTACTTACATTATTTCATTTGTAATCTATAATGTGTGTGTATATATATATTAGAGAAACATACATGTAAACTTTTCAAAGATAATATCCTGCTATATTCTGTTCTTTTCATGTAAAATATTACAAATGCCCTATAGTATAGATATAATACTTACATAAATGTTTTTTAGTATTCTGTTAAGTACACCATGTTAGCAAATTTCTTTTTTGACATTTAGGTTATGTATAATTTTTGTTATTTTAAACAATACTCTGAACATCTTAAACATATTTTCTTTGTATTCATTCATTTATTTCATTCAAATAAATATGTAGAAGTTATATTTCTGGGTTGAGGGTACTTTTTTTAAGGACTGTGTGCGTGTGTGTGTGTGTGTGTGTGCACGCACGCACGAGCGCACACACTTCTTTAGTTCCCTTTCCACTAATGAGAGGCGTTCACCAATGACTCTAGACACTAATGACTGTCTAGACACAAATCTTGATACAAATACAAAGATGACATGGCTCAGTCTATGTACAGTTAAATCCTTGATCAAACCCTATTTATTGGAACCTAGTTTATGGGAAGCCAACTGATGGGAGCCATCAACTGGATTTATTTTTGGAGGGCTTGGCCAGTTTTGAAATTATAAGACAAAAATCGCAAGAAAAATTAGAATCAGTAACTTATATAAATGGTCCAGTTACATTCCACTGTCACTACACATTGAACTCAGTACCTTTCATGGCCTTCATACATTGGTATAGTCCGAACTGGTGTTTAGGATTGACCTTCCATAAAGCTGTAAAGATCACAAATTATTAAAGAGATACAATGTTATACTCACTAGCACACCTACATATAGCAGGGGGGCATCTTAAGGAGTGCCAGAAGTCAGTGCCTTAAATTTGCCTGTTCATAAACTATTTTTTTCCTCCATTTTTTCTGACCCTAAGTTAAACCTTTGCCAGGGCACTAGCTTTCAGTTTACTAAAAACTTTTGCCCAAAAACGGGAAATAAAGTATAAGTTGAATGTGGCGTTCAATATTTGGAAGGTAATTCAAAAAGTCTTCAATAAAGGCAGTTAGTAAAAAGTATTTTTTTAGTTTATCTTTGTATTGTTAAGAAACTTTTCCTCCATTTTAGATAAATGCCTTACCTAGGATCACAGAAGTAGTAGTAGATCTTTTGTTGAACCGCATACACTATATACTATAGAGTCTACCTGTGTAAGTTATGGTAAACTACTTTTCAGATTTTCTAACCAAGCAGAAAATGGTAAATTCTTCATCAGTATTTTGGCAATACTACAGAGATCCGTCAAAGGAGTTAAGGTCTCCCTCCTGAGTGCTGGAAGAAGTAAGAAGATAGTGCCCCCAGGTGTCCCACCAAGGCACTAAATCCTCAGTGACTACTAGAGACCTTCTGTTTCTCTTCCAGGTGATCATCGTCTTGCCCTTCTTTTGTCGCAGTTGGTGGGTAGCCAGTCAGTCCGGGAGCTGCTTACTATGCAGTTGGCGGATTGGCATCAACTCCAGGCTGACTGCTTCATCCAGGATGAGAGACTGCGCATCTTTGCCCTGTTGGCTGGAAAACCGGTATCTTACCCTTTTCTCATAAACTTGCATAAGTTATCTCATGAATTTAGGATTGCTTAAGGTTGGGGCAAAGAGCTAACTTTGCAAATTACATACTATTACACATAACTAGGCAATTTATTGTTTAATTTTTAATGGAAATATTTTTGAATTACAAAGGTAGAATATACAGATTGTAAAAATAGAATACTAATTATACAGAAATTTAAAAAGTTGAAGTTCACCATATCCCATATCATAAACGATGTAAATAATTTGTTTTTCCAGATATATCTAAGTCTGTATCAACATATACGTGCCTATTTACACGTGTATATATGCAAGTAAAATCCATTATACATAGCAGTTCTGTAAGTTTATTTTATTTTTTAAACTTTATATGGACATTTTTCCATGTCCTACAGCTTCTCTTCCATTGTATGGATGATGTACCATAATTTTTAAAAGCCAGTTCTCCATTGCTGCTTACCTGTTTGATTATCTTCTTAAAGTCAGTTCTCAGAAATGAAATAGCTGGTCAAAATTTACACAGATGAAATGCCTTACCTAGGGTGACAGTTTTACATGTTATCAACTGTGAGCAGTGTGAAGAACTCCTTGGTGCTCTCAGTGGCTCTCATCTCTTTTCTCAGAGCACTGACTGTTTATTTGTTTAAATCTACCCCCCTCCTGAAACCAAGGGAATATGTATTTCATATCTAGATCATTAACACTGGCATCTAGATTGTTTAAAATATTACTTGAATTAGTGAATAACTTGCAATCACAAGCAGTAAGAAGGTATGATGATTTTGTCTCTTGCAGGTGTGGCAGCTCTCAGAGCAAAAGCAAATCAATGTGTGCTCTCAGCTGGATTGGAAACGGTCCCTGGCTGTCCATCTTTGGTATCTGCTTCCACCCACAGCCTCCATTTCCAAAGCACTCAGCATGTATGAAGAAGCATTTCAGGTATACGTGTCCAGTAGAGCCAAGCTAGAGTCCTGGTGGGAGTTCTATTTTACCAGCAAAGTTCTGCAGAGGGGGAGAAAAAAATCAAAACATCAAATCACGTTTCTCATAATACTTACTAACTTTTATTGAAAGTACCTTAAAATTGAAACAGACCCAGGAAACCTGATGGAAGACTTTATCCTTTTCTCCTGCCTCTGGATAGAGCTACTCTTAAATTTCTCCAAATGTCTGTTGCTTTTTTATTTAATATGATGAGCTTATTTCTCACTGATGTTTTCCTGCCCCCAAATCAGAGGGCTTTTCTTCTTCCCTAATGTCTTAATTCCTTTACGAATTCTCTGAGATCTAGCCTGACCCAAGGTTTAGTATAGCCCCGAATTAGCAAGTCTGAAATTCGCCCCTACATAACATATTTCATAATCATTGTCACTGTTGAAGTTAAGGTATTATTACTGCTTTTAATACCATTGTTTCTTGAATTCTTACTGTCCCTATTTATTGTCTTGATACTGTTTATCAGGAAAAAGAAACTGAGATATAATAAGATTGTGACAAGGGGTATGGGGGTTTGATGAGAGGTTCCTGAAATCTTTAGACTGGTGGAATATGCCGCTGACCAAAATAAGTTTAAAATCCTTGGTAGATTCCTTTGGAGTGTTGTATTGTTCTTAATACACATGTCTAGGTAGCAGCTAATGAAAAAGGCTAGTAGCTGATGTGTTGTTTTATCAAACTCTTCCCTTCAGAATACCTCTGAGGGTGACAGATATGCCTGCTCCCCACTTCCTTCATACCTGGAGGGCTCCGGCTGTATAGCAGAAGAGGAGCAAGATTCACGGAGACCACTTCGAGATGTCTGCTTTCATCTTCTAAAACTTTACAGTGACAGGTAAACCAGAGCCAGGGATTATAATCAATTGAGAGCTCCCTAAGCCTTAGAGAGTCCTTTCCTGATTCCTTTTCATATGCCACCAAATTGCCATGAGTCTGTATAAATCATCAAATATAATTGGAGTAGTTCGTGGAAAGAGCATTGGAACTAGAATTAGGTTGACATTTCAAGCCACATGTGGTTAGTGGCTATCGTACTGGTCAAGGCAGATAACTGAACATTTCCACCATCACAGAAAGTTCTGTTGGGCAACACTAGTCTAGAAAAACTCCACCCATTACTCAGAGAGGCAGTAGGAAAGTTGTTTTAAAAAAAAAAAAAACGTGGGATCTTAGATGAAAAGGCAGAGGTATTGGTCAGTAATCTAAATCCCAGACCATTAAAACTTTACAGGTGTAGGATCTTAGTTTATACTACTCTCATGATCTGGGAATTGCAAGCTAAGAACTTAACACATAAAGTGGTCTAGGACCATTGAAGTCCCTGGGGCCTCAGCAGAAGAAAAAGCAAAACTCCTTATAGGGACATTTTCAAAACCCAGGGCACTTGGATTTCCCTGTAAAGACCCATACCTGCTGAAGATAAAATCAAAGGTAGGAATTTCCAAGCCACAGCAGGAAGTAACCATCATGAAGACTAGTTAGCTGTTCAGATAAGCAAGAGAGTTAGCACCCCAACAACTTCAGATAATGTAACAGTCTGAAACATACTAATGTAACTGTTTTTTAAATGATTAAGAAAAGTAACAGACACTTGAATGAAGGAATGGAAGGGTGAGAATTATGAAAATTTCTTGTATCTAGATGGTAAAATATATAGGTCAAACCAATGCCAGCAAACCTGTTACATCACACAGCCTCAGAAGAAAGGGTAGTTTTTTTGTTTTCTCTTTTGGTAGAGTCTCTAGTCTGACTGGACGTAGGGGTAATTGATATAGCACAATCTCAAAATGAGAGAAGAACTATACAGTAAGTCCCTGGGTTACGAATGTCTGACTTAGGGACAATTCATATTTGCCCTTTAATGTTGTGTAAATTTACCCTCAATTTGAAACGATTGAACCAGCCCCTACTCACAGCAAATTCTCATCACAGTCACCTTCACTTGCTGCATGTGCAGCTTTTAAATCATTGAAAAAGCTTCAAGCCTTTTCTGCACTAAAGTAAGGCTAAATAAGAACTATACGTACCTATTCTGACTTACTTACAAATTGACTTAAAGACACACTTAGAAACTGATCTCCTTAGGAGACTGCCTATAATGCTTTTGCCTTCAGGGGCCTTCATTGTCTTCTGAGACTTAGCTGGAACATTTGACCTATTGGATGCAGGTGGTCTGCTGGCTGGACGTGGCACATACTTAGTAACTCTCTTCGTACATTCTCCTGTAGACATTATGACCTCAACCAGCTGCTGGAACCTCGAAGCATAACAGCAGACCCCTTGGACTACCGCCTAAGCTGGCATTTGTGGGAAGTGCTACGTGCTCTTAACTACACCCATCTCTCAGAGCAGTGTGAGGGTGTGCTGCAGGCCAGCTATGCTGGCCAACTGGAGAGCAAGGGCCTCTGGGAGTGGGCCATCTTTGTCCTGCTGCACATTGCCAACTCAAGGTGAGTGAGAGGCTGTCAGACCCTCTGGGTATGTCTAACAGTATAGGGCAATGCCAAAGAATCACAGTCTCTTAAGGGTCAATTCAGCAGGTAAGTATTTAGCATGTATTCTGGTGTTTACTTTTGGGAGAAACTTAAGACAGTTCAACCATCGGCCCAAACTGTCTTTATTCACATGAACCAGTTAGAACTGAAACTGTGTTTGATTAAGTGCGAAATTACACTATTTATTGTAAGGCCACTCAGTAGTCTGAGAAGGCAGAAGAGATCTCTGTGGGATGCAGTGATTAGGGAAAAGTCTTTGTAGAGACAAGATTCAAGGAGCCTGTAAAATTGGAATAGGAAATAGGAAGTGGAAAAGGAGGGGTATACCCAGGTGGAGCAACAGCATTAACTTAGGCACAGATTCACTTGAATGTGGCATGTTTAGGGATTGTGCAGTAGTAGTGCTGGCTGAGCTGCCTCATTGGATCCGTGGCAGTCATGTTATGGGTTTGTTTTGCCTTTTTTTTTTTTTTTTTTTTTTAATTGTGCTTTAAGTGAAAGTTTACAATTCAAGTTAGTTTCTCATACAAAAATTTACATTCTTTCTGTGACCCTAGTTGCTCTCCCTGTACTGTGACAGCACGCTCCTCCTTTACACCCCTCATTTCCTGTGTCCATTCAGCCAGCTCCTGATCCTCTCTGCCTTCTCATCTCACCTCTGGACAGGAGCTGCCCATTTAGTCTCATCTACCTACTTGAGCTAAGAAGCACATTCTTCACGAGTATCATTTTATGTTCCGTAGTCCAGTCTAATATTTGTCTGAAGAGTTGCCCTTGGGAATGGTTTTAGTTTTGGGCTAACAGAGAGTCTGGAGGCCATGTTCTCTGGGGTCCCTCCAGTCTCAGTCAAACCATTAAATCTGGTCTTTTTACTAGAATTTGAGTTCTGCACCCCACTTTTCTCCTTCTCTGTCCAGAGAGACTCTGTTGTGTTCCCTGTCAGGGCAGTCGTTGGTTGTAGCCTGGTACCATCTAGTTGTTCTGGTCTCAGGCTGATGTAGTCTCTGGTTTATGTGGCCCTTTCTGTCTCTTGGGCTAATATTTTCCTTGTGTCTTTGGTGTTCTTCATTCTCCTTTGCTCCAGATGGGTTGGGACCAATTGATGCATCTTAGATGGATACT